AAGATAGGTTGAAGCATATTATTACTCGACCCACCCCATACCGATATTCCAAATCTTAGGTGTGACTCAAATAACGTGTGGTACAATTCTTTATGGTGTTTTTTCGGGATAACGTGTCGTATTCTACTGAGTCTTCCGATCTCACACCTAAGTTTCGAGTTGAGGGCTCTTATTTGAACATCCCATTTTAGCTTTTCGTCAATAATAACACCTAAAAACTTGGTCTCTTTAACTTGCTTTATTACCGTATTATTTAGAGTTAGTATATATTCTGATTCGTTATCTGCCTCATTATCAGTAGCTGTACGTGACGGATTGAACAGGTTTTAAACTTGTCGCTAAATACTTTTAGTCTGAGTCCCCAAACTAAACAGGATTCGGACACATTTCTTTTGTGCAAGGAATAGCGGTGAAAGCTTAGTAATTGATACACCACCCCATACAGTTATACCGTATCCTAGATGAGATTCAAAGAAAGTGTGGTATATCTGTTTGTACAGTTGGCTGGGGAGTAAGTTTTTATTTGATAAATACGGCCACATATGCTGTTTAATTTCTTAGTCAGTTTCTCGATATGAGGCTAGGTGTCCAACTCAATTTGTCATCAATAATAACACCCAAAAATTTCGTTTCAGTAACCTGTTTGATCGGGATTCCATCAATTTCTAAATGAGCAACCATTTTTTAAAGCAATCACAAACATATAATTACAAAAAATTAACTTTAAATATTTGTGTTGAATTTATTTGTGTTGTTATCATATTGATTAACGATGTCAATCTAACGATCTACGATGAAAAACAAAAATAATAGTACGCCTGGCGCTTCAAAACGGCCTCTAATAGTAATACTAATATAACGCGCTCGCTGTATAAATTAAGTAATTTTAATTTTAATGTTTAAAACATTATTCATTTTGATATATTTTTAAATTACAATTATTTCATACAATTATTATTTTTTAACTTTTTGACACTCAAATTTTATTTGTCATACGTTGTAAGACCCGCCGCGCACGAAGTGCGCGGCTCCCCCAGTATCGTCAGGACGATAGTGAAACGACCGTGGGGGTCGCAACGTGATACAAAATTTTATTGTTACTGCATTTAAAGACGCGCGTCTCTGAACATCGCTACCGCTCTAATATGACGTACTGAGCAGTACTATACAAGGGTCTGGGTTAAAGACATTTGTTACATGAGAAGTTTTATTCAACTATCCAATTATGTGACATGTTTAATGTGATTGAGCCGCAAAGTGGAAGTATTAGTTATGAGTCTCATGTACAAGAACAATCTACTGAACTCGTTTCTCTTCAGAGTTGACAGAGCAGTGGCCTCTCCGCTATGCATCTGTGGCTCAGATGAGCAAACAGCACTGCACCTACTATCAAGTTGTGAGCTTGTGGACGCGAATCTACAATGTCAAGCTGAACGAATCATCACCCTGTGTAACAGCGGTAGGTCCATGGTCGATCTAGCAGCTGAGCAGGGCTTCATCATACTGAACTGTTCAAGGGACGAAATGTTTATAAGTGTGTGTGTTGAAATTGTAAAAAAGCAAGGGGCTACATCTTAAGCGAAAGATTAATCTTTCGAAAAGATAAGGGTTTATTACTAGTGATGATGTTTATGTCATTATTCTTAATCTAATCTAATCTAATCTTATTATAGCATCTAATTTTGCTAATTTTGCTACTACTATGATAAAGAATGAAATACCAAGTATATTGAAGTGTAGTAAAGTGTTATTGGACTTTGCTTATTTGAAAACAAACACCTTTAAATTAAATATTGTTTTAATAACAAGGGAATGAGTTTTTCTATTTGAGCTGTTTAGTTCAAAGAAAAGCAGATATATGGACTGCTTTAAAACTCTTATTTTGGAAAAAGTTTGTTTCAGTAACCATTGAGAACCAGTGGCCTTTTGCAGTGGCGTAACGAAAGGCCCTGCTGACCCCGCTGTGCAGGGGGGCGCCGTCTTAGGGGGGCGCCAAATCGTCGTTTGAATGTGGGACAATTTCGAAAACTTAACTAAAGTACTAGCAAAACTGCGCGTTTTGCTCTAGATACACACTTTTTTAGAGATTTTACCGGCGTATTCTTTAAAATCACCTAATTTGTTCAATTTTAGGGAGGGGCACCAAAAGGGGAGGGGGCGCTTTTTTCGGCAGGGGGGCGCCAACAGGCAATGTTACGCCACTGGCCTTTTGTAACTGCATCTTTAACCTCAGTTTCACTTTGAAACGTCAAGTGACTGGTAAAGTCAAATATTCTGTTCTATGAACATTTATTCTAGTATTTTGAAGTGTAGAAATTGTTAAGATCTTTAATTTTGTACTAAATTACTGATGTTTTATAACGTTTTAACGGGTGTAATTTTGTTAGGTAGGTATTTAAAATTATTATTCTTTTGGAAATTGAAGTTTTGATCTTTACTATTTATTGTTAATAAAATGCTCATTGTAGCCAGTTATTTTAAGATTTTCATCATCATAATGTGATTGTATTAAAACAAAAAGTAAATTAATTTAATCAATAATTTATAATGGATACGTGTCACTGCGGCACAGCTCGTTGAACACCTTTGCAGAACTAATGAGAACTGTGAAATGCAAGGATGAGCAGACTGAATCACTGAATCAGTTCTTCTTCCAGTTGATGGTCTAGAGCTGCCAAATAAAAGGGAACAGTCCTAGTATAGGAGACCAAGCTGGGCTGGACATTTCTGCAAGATCTATTTGGAAAGCTTCAGAGAGGGCATTTTTATTGAATAGGATTCCGTTAAATATCAAATTGATTTATTGTAAACTTGTTTTATCTTAATAAATGGCATACAATTCTTGTTTAACTGACTGCCACTGTCAGCGATAACCATGTGTGACCTTCTTTTATGTATGATGGAGTCTGGGACATTGCTGGGTTATAAGCCTTGGCCTGGGTCATAACGTATAAGCAGTCAGCAGAAATGTGTACAGTTTTTAACTTTAAGTTATATTAACTTTTTTTCTGTGTTAATTTAGATTGCCGATTCGTTTAACTCCATTAAACTTTGCATTGACCATGGAATGAGACCAAAATAGAGACGTTTCGCTATGATTAATCTTCAACATCTAAGGGACTTAGATTCCAGTGTAAGTTGATCCAGTGGCATAACATTCCCTGTTCCCCCCCCCCCCCCCCCCTCCGCCGAAAAAGCGCCCCTGTTGACGCCCTTCCTAAAATTGGACAAATTAGGTGATTTTAGAGGATACGCTGGTAAAATCTCTGAAAAAGTGTGCTTCTAGAGCAAAAAGCGCAGTTTAGCTAGTACCACAGTTAAGTTTTTCTAAATTGTCCCACATTCAAACTATGATTTTGCCCCCCCCCCCCCTAAGATGGCGCCCTTAAGATGCCCCCCCCTCGCGGCACAGCAGGATCAGCCGGGCCACTGAGTTGATCCCATCTATGACTAGCGGCAAAAAACCATCAAAACAGTTTATCAAGTCAGGTAGTTTTTCATAACAATTTGTTAGCTCGATATGATAATTTTTTCTGTACAATCTGTACAATCAGTAGTGTCAAGAGTACAAACCGACCATAGTACCTTCTTTATCGTACATACGTCAGGTAAGGAAGGGACGACCAAGCACAAACCTGAATGAATCCACCAGGGGCTCTGTTGAATAGCAGGAAATACTCCCCTTTGCATCTGGTGTTGAGATTATTCTCTACGGATTAGGGATGACTATACTATTACTTATAGCCTAAGTAGAGGTATGGAATGGCCTGCTGTTGCTTAAGGTACAACGTCATTTGCCCAGTAATAGAGATTACAAACCATCTAATTGTAATGGTCACAATAAATATCCCCATAAAGAAGTGAAAAAGATTACTAAATTACTGCTTGTACTCAAGCTGATCAGCTTTATCCACACCACTGAAATTTACAGTTTATAAAGACATGTTAGGAGAACACGATTTTTCAAGCGATTTTAACTTTAAAATTCATTTGAAATTGATCCAAATATATCATGATATTAGTGAAAGCGACTGTATTACCTCTCCACAAACATAAACGTCTAAAAATTGATGTACGATTAATGATTGAAAAGTTGGGTTATTATAACTAGAATATATGTACTGTTAGATTACAACATGTTAGTGTGTGAAAAAAAATGTACACCAATACCCTGTTATTCACAGTTGAATATTTACAGCAATGGTTTTACTTGACAATGATGGATTTCTTCATGCGCTCACTAAGATGTTCCACAGCAACAGATCATCAGGCAGTGTAAACATTACCCTGAAAAAGTATGATGGAAGAACGACCAGACAAAAGCCTCAGCAACCCATTGAAAACTTATGCCTTATTAGAGCTTCAGACAACAGGTCAAAGGTTACCACCGTAATTTCTAGTAAAGAGGTCACTAAATTCCAGATGTCATATGCCACACTTTTGCGGGGTAACATGGATTCTCTGAAGAAACATGACAAAAGTAAAGAGCGCAAAGAACGGAAGAGGAAGGATCTATAGAATTTTTATTAAATGGTATTGATTTATGAGGATACACATAGAGTCACTTTATTGGGGCTATTGTCAACTTTGTTATCAGCTAAATTTACATACTTTTGAATGATTGACTTGTTTATTTAATTTTTATTCTAGTTGTTTAAAATTCTGCACGACTTCCTTTGCAGTAATGAAACCACGATAGTAAACCATTTTTGTTTTTTCTCAGGGTCTAAGTGTAACTTCAACTGATTTCGAAATACCTTATGATATGCAGCTCAAACATATTTAACATTTACTTGTACAGTTCATCATTATGTGTGACAACTAGATAATTGCTACCTATTTTGAGAGCGTGTCTTTAAAATGCAATGACTAAAAAACTATGGAACCTATGTGACTCGTGAGTCACACAAGATTCTTAAAATGTATCCAAAACTTTTAAACCTTCCTTTGTTTCATTCAGTACTGCCTATATTAAAATTAAGTATCTGTTTACTAAATAACTCCTTTTAGGTTTCATGATAGGTTTAAATGGCCAACCTGCTCTTATCCCGCCTATAAAATATAACACTAAATGTCAAGTTAACTTATACACGGACTGCCCATTATCAGGGTTGGACAATATCATCCCTATCAAAACATGTTCCGTTGCATCGAGAATATTATCCAAGTAAGTTGTTCCCTCATTGGTTCCTGAATCTCCCCCAATTCATTAGAATAAATTTGATCATCTTGAGATCACATCTAATAATTTCTTCTTCAGATCTTTTCATTTTAGTAACACAAGTTTCAACCTTCACCAGGTGTATCATACTAGAGTGCCTCTGTGGAAGACTAAGTAAGCTGAAGAATACTACATTCGGTTACACACAGTGGGTTGGACAAACAAGTGAGGTATTCATCATCTAGTAGAATTTATCATTTTCAGTTTTATATGTAAAATAAATGATTCTGGGGTCATGAAGAATTTTAAGCAAGAATCGAGTGATTATTCCATTAAAAACATTGCAATTTTTTACACCTATTGGTAAGATTAAGACAATGGATTGTTGTCTGGATTATGCAATTTCAATACAAAAGCAGATGTTGTTTAAAGCCATACTAAAGCTCGATACAAATATTAGCATGGCCTTACCATAGAAGGAAATAGCACGGGTTACATTTACATGGTTAGACTTATTTCTCACGATGATTCTCCTCAGGCCTATGCAGATATCTGCAAGATACTGAAAGCTGTTGGAGCAACTAATGTAAGATCATACCTGGAGGAACAGGATATCTTAAAACTTTTCCCTTTGTTAGAAAAGTTTGTGAGCAATGAACTTTTACCAGTTATAGCAAAGTCTCCCCTTACCTCGCATCTCTCCACTTTTTCAACTTATGGACAGGTTAGCAAAATGTTTAATGTTGGAATTGTGACATCATAACTATGTGCGATATTTTCTATCCTTTGTAAAATTAAGAAAGAATTTGATGAATGATAGTCAATAGTTTGCAGTGCTGTTCTATTGTCAGGTTAACAGTCTGTGTGTGTCAATGTTAGAAGAGTTGCTGTTTGGCGGGTCCCCCAAGTATGTAGCTCACCAATTTGCTTTACTCTACAGAGCACTAGCTTCCACTGGTCTTGCCTTACAATCCTTCAAAATCAAGGTATTAGTTGAGAAGACCTTCTTATCCTTCTGTACAATTTAACGTTAATGCTAGTTTTTTAATTGACCCTACATTTTACAAGTTGTATGACAAATATGTAGATTGTAGCCATTATAACTTAGTTTCGGATGTCTCGGTACATTCATTATGTGCTTTTTAGAAACTATTTGTTTAGTTGAAACAAACTAATCCCCAGGGAGAAGGTCTGTTTACGACTCTAAAGCAGGAGCTGGACCAATATCAGATTTTATCAGTGGACACTCATGAGATGCTTATTCATTATTTATCCACTTTGAAGGAGGAATCCCAATCATTTGTAACGAGTAACTCCATTTCGCAGGCATTCTGTGAGGCCACCGACATTTGAAATTTGATATGATTGAATGCTTGGTAAAAATGTTGTCAATTAGGTTGATTTATATTTATAATTTAACTTGTATTTGTGTGATTCTTTGAACTTTATTTATTTTGAGCTAGGTTTATTGTTTAATTGTATTTCTGTACTTAAACTTTAAAGTAAATATTTTTCTTGATTTATTTCTATATTTTGAATTGATTACTGACTTGATAACTATTGTATTTGTTAATTGATATAATAGGCATAACTACGATTTTATTATATCTGTAAGTTGAGATTTAAATAATGAAAATCTATATTATATAAAAATCCGGTGATTTATCCGCTTCTGTTTTATTCAGCAAACACCTGATGAGTCGGGGCTTTAGATTCATCTTTTTCCACGTAGATTTCTTTAATATGTTATATTTTAAATTTTCTATTAATTTAAGTAAATTTAAAATGAACTTATTATATTTAAATAGTAAAGTACTTATATAAGTATATTATATAATACATATTATCAGATCTTTATCTACAAATTTAACTGGATTAACGAGTTTCTCTCTTAAAACTCCTAATGACTTGGAGGTGTATGTAACTTGACACTCGGTACATTGTTCGCTAGAGCAGGAGCGGTTATAATTGACCATGTCTTATTAAGCCTCATCAGACGTTGGGTCGTTGAATCTAAATGCCACAGCAGTCTACAAGCTATTATCTTTATTACTGTTCGTGTATTTTCTTAAATTTCGGAGCTAAAATGGCAAGTCAATGTTATTGTAACATTTGTGTCTTACGGTATGGTTCGAGCACTCCGCTTATAAACTGGTGAGCTTTATTGTACCCAAAATCAATTCAAAGGTTTTCTAGTTCCAGACATATACTCAATCTAGTGATATCAGACATTTTGTCTATAATCGCGAAATCATAATCCTTCGTTGCAAAACTTTAGATCTACCAAACCAATTACCACTAAACCCTACTTTTTTCAGTGATGGTATGATAAAAGGTTCCATCAGTAGGTCGAGGTTTGTGGTTACCATCTTATCATGCTCCATCATACTCTTCCCTCCTGGAGGGATCACTTACGGCTTCAACGTCATCGATCCTTATCTGTACTCTTACATTGTGTCTTTAGATAAGGATCACTCTACAGATAAATCACGCCTGTCATGGGTGTACTCAGCTCTTATGATTGGACAAGCTATTGCAATGATAACAGGAGGGCTCTTGTTGAGGAAGTTTTCCACTCGCAACATTGCAATTTGTGCTGTTGTGATGTTTAATATCAATATCTTGGCCATGTATTTTTCTTGTAGATCAGTAATGACACTGGCGTTAAGCTATTTTCTGGCAGGGTTCACTTTAGGACTGATATATGTCACAAGTTTGGTTGTGGGCTTGTCATGGATTGAAAAACAATATCATGGTCTGGTCTCTGGAATTCTTAGTCTGGGCTACGGACTATCTAGCGTTTTTATCAGCCCTCTGGAGTCACTCTATGTCAACCCAAACAATTTGGACCCCATCAAGAACCCTATCGATGGCGAGTTAATCTTCAACCAATCTTTCATACTGAACAAAGTTCCAAAGATGTTTGTAATGTTTGGTATACTGTCAACATTGCTTCAGTTTCCTTTAAGCTTTCTCCTTGTCAAAAACCCAACCCCAGACACGAGAAAAGGTGAAGATGTCATGCCTTCCATAAACGGCGAATCTGTTAAAGACATGTTCCGTAAACCTAGATTTTATCTACTGTTTCTAATTTTTGCACTGAATAAAGTGCCTCTAGCTTACATAGGCTCCTACTCAAAGTTTTATGGACAGACCTTTCTGCACGACGATATGATCCTCTCTGTAGTGATAGCACTATCAGGAATATTCAATGCACTGGGACGTCCTTTCTGGGGACACATTCACGACAGATTTGGAGTCAAGGTATCCTTGTTCATGCTCTGCCTTGCTACGGGTGTTTGTATTTTGTTGTCATATCTTAGCAAGTTTCTGACGGGACGAACAACGTGTGCAAGTCTATACACCATTGCTATTTGGGCTTCATACTTCTGTTGCACAGGTAACTATGGCATCATGCCAGCCGCTACCATCCAATTCTTTGGCGAGCAAGATTTCGGAGTGAAATACGGTATCTTATACCTCAGTCAGGCACTTGGTGCTGTTATATCTGCCCTGTACACCTCCTTCATTCCCTTCTGGATGCCACTTGTCTTGACTATTGTCTTCACATCTGTAATCTCGGGACTTCTTTCTCTGATGTTGAGAAAGACAGAGACACTGGACGATCAGGCAAGGGCACTGTTAGATGATACTAGCACGGACAGTTTGGTCCCCAGCAGAGAGTTTGAGCTTAATAGAGAAAACAGAGACACTCTAGAACTTAAGGAACATAGAGATGAAAATGAGTAGAGTGAAAAAAATGAGGACAATTTAAACGTTAAATATTAAAGTTGCATTTATTCTTCAGAGATCATAGTTAATAGTATGGTTTGTGTTTCTATGTAAAAACGATTTTAAAATTGAATATAATTATGTTGTGATTAGAAGATTTATTTATTTTTATTGAAAATTTCGCAGTTTTAACACAGTGCAGGGTGATCAAACTGTGGTTTTTAGCAACTAATATTAATCATTATATACATTTTTTTACAGACTGTGCCGGACCTGCTAGTTATTGTATGCTAGTGTATGCTAGTTAGTGTACCTGTTAATGTTTATTTCCGATCCATGGCTTTGATTTCATAGTTTGTCTTAAATTCGTAGCGCTAAACTTAAGATCGCTAACAAGCACTGTGCCTCACTAAACAGACCACAGCCTTGCATATAACTGAATAATAAAAAATGGGCTGTAATAAATTATATGATGGATCGGGAATTGAGCGGCCGCCCGCTAAATAAATGCAGCTGCATTTCTTGGTTTCAATAGTTCAATGTTTGTAAATTAGCACCTAAATCTTGATAATGCAAGCAAATCTGAGTAGCCTAGATGATTTGAATGATCTCGAATGTTAATTCGTCATCATATCTTTTAATTACAATAATTGAATGTTATTTGTTATACCAATGGGGTATAAATTATGTTATGTATAATCAGATTTAATCGAGAATCTTTGTACTTTTGTTAGATCTATAGCTATTCAAAAATTTTTAATAAACCTTGATGCTTCATTTGTTCTTTTTACCGTCATAATTTTATAAAAATAATTTAACATATCTTGTCAGCTCAAGATATGTGGAAAACTTATTACTTACCATTTGATTCGGATTATTCTACTAACACTGCCTACACAATTATAGAAAAATTTCTGAATTCAAAAAAATATATCAAGCTGGAATGTCACTTACATACAATTACATTCTTTCTAACATTCCTCAGATATAATAGAAAATGTCAGCTGAACTGTTCAACCAAGGGAAAGTTCGCACTCAAACAACAAGATTAAACCCGCACCTCATCACCCCTCTCAACTACACAATGGGAGGGAATGGATGGGGTGCCATTTGCTGGAATAGACTTGTCATTACGTTGTGTAGCTGTATGCCATGTAGATTGTAGCAGTCAACACGCTATTATCTTTAATCCTGTTTAAATACTTGCTTATTTCGGAACTAAAATGGCGAGTCTCTGCATTTGTGGTAATCCTTTTGCAAACATGTGAGATTTATTATTTAGTCACATGCTCAATCTAGAACTGCTACACATTTTGTATCGACAAATCATAAATTAACCTCAAAAAACTCTTTAAAATGCATTCCAATTAAATGGTTTGCTGTTAAAATACCCTAACCACTAACTCTTTTCAGTGGTACTGTCATAAGAGGCTCCATCAGTCAAGCCTTGCTCGTGGCCATCATCGTATCCTGCTCCGTAATCCTCTTTCCTCCTGGAGGGATCACTTATGGTTTCAACTTCGTCGATCCTTATCTGTATTCTTACATTGTGTCTATAGATAAGGATCACTCTACAGATAAATCACGCCTGTCATGGGTGTATGCAGCTCAAATTACCGGACAAGCTATTGCAATGATTACAGGAGGACTTATGGTGCGGAAGTTTTCCACTAGCAATGTTACAATTTGTGCTGTTGCTTTGTTTAACTTGAACATCTTTGTCATGTATTATTCGTGTACATCGGTAATGTCGCTCATGGCCAGCTATTTCATAGTAGGGTTCACTTCAGGACTGATATATGTCATGAGTTTAGTTGTGGGCTTATCGTGGATTGAAAAACAATATCACGGTCTGTTCTCTGGAATTCTTAGTTTGGGCTATGGACTATCTAGCATTTTTATTAGCCCTCTGGAGTCACTCTATGCCAACCCAAACAATTTGGACCCCATCAAAAACCCTATCGATGGCGAGTTAATCTTCAACCAATCTTTCATACTGAACAAAGTTCCAAACATGTTTTTAATGTTTGGTATACTGTCAACATTCCTTCAGTTTCCTTTAAGCTTTCTCCTTGTCAGAAACCCAGACACGGGAAAAAGTGATGGTGCCTCCATAAACGGAGCAACTGTTAAAGACATGTTCCGCAGGCCTGGATTTTATCTACTGTTTCTGATTTTTGCACTGAATAAAGTGCCTTTAGCGTACATACACTCCTATGCTAGGGATTATGGGAAAACCTTTCTGCACGACGACAAAATACTGCTCTCTGTAGTGATAGCACTATCAGGAATATTCAATGCACTGGGACGTCCTTTCTGGGGACACATTCACGACAGATTTGGAGTCAAGGTATCCTTGTTCATGCTCTGCCTTGCTACGGGTGTTTGTATCTTGTTGTCATATCTTAGCAAGTTTCTCACGGGACAAACAACGTGTGCAAGTCTATGCACCATTGCTGTTTGGGCTTCATACTTCTGTTGCACAGGTAACTATGGCATCATGCCAGCCGCTACCATCCGATACTTTGGCGAGCAAGATTTCGGAGTGAAATACGGTATCTTATACCTCAGTCAGGCAGTTGGTGCTGTTATATCTGCCCTGTACACCTCCTTCATTCCCTTCTGGATGCCACTTGTATTGACTATTGTCTTCACATCTGTAATCTCGGGACTTCTATCTCTAATGCTGAGAAAGACAGAGACACTGGACGATCAGGCAAGGGCACTGTTAGATGATAATAGCCCAAACAGATTGTTTCCTATCAGAGACTCCTATCTCAATAGAAAAGATAGAGAAACTCTAGAATTTATAGGACTACAAGATGAAAATGAGTAGTATAGTAGTATGCACAAATGACGAGATGAGGAAATTCAGCTCAGGACCAGGTGGAAAAATATTCAAAGTCAGATTTTTGATTTGTGTAGCTAGATTGATAGGACTGTAATTGTTATGCTTATGTAGGTTAACATTCTTGATTAAGATTCGAAAATTAAATACATATAAATTGTAAATATAAATTTTTATTTTTTATCTACCGTAGATAAAAAGTTAGCAATTTTAGCATGATATTATTTTCTGGTAATTGCAGTTAGAGTTTAAGTTGTCCAAACTATGGTTATTAGCAATTAATCTTAATCTTGATATGTAAATATTTCGGCATTTAATTTACAGGACAGTGCTGGTCAGTGCATCAGTTCATGTTCTTAAATCGTTGTTGCCAAGTTTTGTCAATTAAGAGCAATTAAATTTTAAATAATGCAAAAAAGATCTAGCTTGCATGACCTCAAAATTATACATTTTTCAAAGACTTTTTAGTAACTTTGACTCTTTATTTGTTCTCTTTAGAGCTATAATTTTACATAAATCTATAGAAAACAGATTTTTATTTGATGTTAAATTCTTATCGTCACGGTGCGAACGGTCAACTCAAATATACCCGACTGGGACTACTCTTTAGATTAGTCCGATAATGAAAGCTTTGCCTGATCAACTATAGATACATGTCTGTATTCAACAAAAGACACTACTCGCATTCCTCTAACATTCTTTCTTAGACAAACATTCCCAGATATAGAAAATGTCAGCTAAACTACAAACAAGGGAAACGTCCCTCGCTCGCCTACATGACTAAACCATTACATCATCAACCCCTGGCAAATAAACACAATGGAACAGAAGGAATGGGTTGCCATCTGCCGGAATAGAGCTGCCCTGACAAGCTACGTAGATGTGAAGGAAGCTATTCATTATCTCAAGGCTCAGATCGAGGACCCTCCTGTTGGAGCCTATTTCTCTCCTCTTGATGTGCAGCTGGAGTCTGCTGAGATTGACCAGTTTCAAGACCATGTCGTGAGTGCTCATCATTATTACCATTTTATGCCAATTCTATTAATACCGCGAGGGTGACCGGTTTGAAGGGAGAGCTGATTATCAACTTAAAAAACTTAAAATTTCAGTCGATAAAAAGTTTGCTCGACTACCTAAGGAGACAAAGAGATGGTTTTAACTTGCTATGTAGTGCTCTGAAGGCAGCAAATCAGTCTTTCATAGCTGATATCTTGCTTCAAACCAAAGATAAGATTCCTGAAGTAGGTAGGAAAAATTTTTGCTCAAATTTATATTATATTTATTCGACCGTGTACTTTAACTCAGTTTACATAAATGTTGAATCGAGTTACTCCGACAATTTGTAAATAACTCCATTCCTTCTAAAATTTTCCATTTTCAGATCATGCCCCAAGTTTCGACATACCAGACACACGAAGAATGATTCTTTACAAGATCGCAACCAAACTACAATCCGGGAGAAGTTACATCAACTTGTACGGAGAACAAGGTGTGGGTACTTCCTGCTTTCTAGAGCAAATCATACGGTACTTACAAGAAGAATGTTACTTCAGCATCAAGAGGATTGATCTTACTGACACACCACTGATACTCCAACAGAAGTACTTTTCTACCATGAAACACGAGCTTTTATCCAAAGAAAAGGCAATGAAGAAATTTTGTGTTTTTTGTGTCGATAACTGCAATTCAATCGTTCTCCAACAGAAACCAAAGCATCAGATGCATCAGATGAAATCAGTTGCAACTTGGATAGCAAGTTGTAAGAACAATCTCGGGATAAGCCTCCTTACCACCGCCTCTAACAAGATAGAGGGGCTAGATAACATTGAAGTCAGCAGACTGCCTGTGGAAGAAATGGGTAAAGACATTCAAAAAATGTTTTTGAATATTTCTGATGCTGAAATAAGGGACCTTACAGCCGTGTTTCCGGAGGAATGTAATCCTCTGGACTGTTTTCTACTGAGTACTCTTTACATACTCCATCGCAAACAGGTGGATCACGTGGCAACATTCCTCAAAAGACACCCAACCGACACAAGAAATGAACTGTTTGCCGCGGTGTTCAGTAAACTGTCCAGGACGCAGCAGGACATTTTGTTATCAGTATATTCATTGCCGTGCAATGGGAAAGTTAGTCTTCCTTCTATTTACTCGTTATACCACGGATCATCTAGACCTCCAGAAGAGATTCGCATTCAACTCCTGGAAACAGCAATAACTGAACTTGTTGACTTTAATTTGCTTAACAAAAAGGACCATCGGTACTCGATGAAAGACTCCAATTTCTTTTACCACTTCCGAGCGTTTTTCAAGAAGAAACACCCCAAAAGATTGAGAGTGTATTATTTGAGAGGGCTTCACTATTATCTGGATTATACTATCAAGATTATCCAAGATGTTCATTCACTAAACGAATTCAATAAGGTAATTTCAGTAAGGATTATTTTATGAGTAGTGAGTGAATGTTTTATATACTATAGATTCAAGTCGGCTCAACATGCTACGCACAATTTATACAATAGTTTGGCTCTACCTGCTTGATATTTGTTTCATTTTCAAGTTATCATTCCAAGGTTAAATATTTGATTATGTTCATTGTTCAAGCTTTTGATAGAAAACAATTTAGTCGTATTTTATAACTTTACAAAATATGATTGGAACCGATTGCAATTCTCATGAAACTAACACCAGTTTCACTCCACCAGACTCAAGCAGAGGAATGGGCGGACACAATACCTCGAATCTCCTTTGTTCTGGAACCGACAGAGATCCTTCTAGAACAAGCCATCCTCCGCAAACCACAAATCAGCAAACCTCTTTACAACAAGAGGATATTTGTTATAGAGAAGTTGAGAGACATTGCCCTGCACGTTCCCAATGCTACTCTCATTCTGTCGGCACAGAATCTGTTGAATGATTTCGATAATTATCACTGTAAACATGCTGACATTGTGAGTTATTTAACTTTAAATATTATATGCGATTTTTAGTATCAAACAGGAAAATAGATTGATAATGATATCCGACCGTTTCCGGTTCAGCAGGGACTGGTACTCGGTTCATTGTCGTTTGTGATAATATAAAATGTGTTATGTGGTTAATGTAGTGTACTCTACAATCTAGATCTATAAAACGGAGTACGAGTTACCGAACACCGGGGCGCCATGATAGCCTCTTTTGTCTCCGCATAGCCTCTAATTGTGCTTACTAATACAATAGAGTCTGAGGGCAGCTAAACACCAACTTGCAGTGATCGATTGTCTCAATCAGCTCCCATTTATTAAGATTATATTCACGCATAGTTGAACACTCAACAGTATGAGATAAGTGGAAAATTTGAAAACTTTTCACTAGATAAATTTTATAACTATTATATTGGACATTTTACATATTTTGGGTAATAAATTAACATGCCGGGTCCTTGACTTCGGACCTTTAGTAGCAGGTGCGGGACCATGTTATTGCCTTATTAAAGAAATCATTGGCTTTTAGTACCACATTTTAAATGACAGGGGTTAAAACGGGATTAACTTTAAATTTCCGCCAAGATCCGACAGCCTGAAATTTCCTCTTCTATACACCGGCAAACCGGAAAATAGATTGATATCAGGCCAAAAACCCCGATCGGTTCCTACCCCAACGATAATATCTATGATAATCAGGAGGATAAAGCGAAGTTGCTGTGTCTCATAACTGAACTGTCCCTCTCCCCTGACTGCAGTTCTACAGATGCCCGGGAAAACCTTCAAAAGGCCATGATTGAAGTCCAAACTTTGTTAGACAAGAAGAAATCAGCACCTGAACTCAGAGTTAAATACTACTTGAGGATACTTATACCCCTTGCAGAGGTGAGTTTGTGTGAGAGAGAGAGAGAGAGAGAGAGAGAGAGAGAGAGAGAGAGAGAGAGAGAGAGAGAGAGAGAGAGAGAGAGAGAGAGAGAGAGAGAGAGAGAGAGAGAGAGAGAGAGAGAGAGAGAGAGAGAGAGAGAGAGAGAGAGAGAGAGAGAGAGAGAGAGAGAGAGAGAGAGAGAGAGAGAGAGAGAGAGAGAGAGAGAGAGAGAGAGAGAGAGAGAGAGAGAGAGAGAGAGAGAGGATACTTATACCCCTTGCAGAGGTGAGTTTGTGAAGAGGCTCTGAAATGGTTGCTTTTAAATAAGATGAACCTGTTTTTTCCTCACTAACTTGAGTTACGATATACTTAGCAATAGAGTAAGGAAGAAACATACCGTTTCCCAAATATCTTATGGAATTTTCAATTCCTAGATTTACGTAAAAGAAAAGAGTTTCGAGAAAGCGCGACACTGTTTTCGGGAGTGTCTCAAGTTAAAGTGTGACAATAAGACTATAAACTGGTTGCTGAGAAAGAGACTGAAGTTTGTTAACGATATTTTGAAGAACCCCACCAGTCTCGAGGTTTTTTTATTTTTTTTGTTTCCTTTTTTCTCGAGGTTTGACTGATATTTATTATACATACTGCTGTTTAAATTATAAAATTTGCATCTTTTGGCTGATTTTTATTAAAATCTAAACTGCAAATAATCTAACGACCCTGTACCCAACCAGCTAGAATCCCCGACGGGTAGTGCTAGTTTTACTCCTCTCTCGCCGGTCGACGTTACCTCCAAGAACTTCCTGTCAAATGACATTAAATACCATCTGGAGATGGGGGATAATTTCTACGTTAGAGGAGGTAAGTTTATGGTTCTTCATTTTATCGTACTCCTTATTTAAAATCTCATCTCTTAGTAATAATACAGGGGGGGTCACGACACCTTGATTGGGCAGCCTTAACGACTCCCATAATGTTTAAGTTTAACGGGGATGTTAACAGGGTCACCTTATATATATGGGTAAACTAGACCTGCATAAGCCAGGGGAACGGCCCATAGCAGGGTAACCAGGATGGCCCGGTACCCAAAAACCTGATTAACTAGCAAAGATAAAAAATAACAATAGGTAATACATAGATACCAATACTATACCGATATAAGATGCATAGTTCAGAAAGATCAAACCGGGATGTTCCTTCTGTTAGTCTTTTGTAAGAGTCCATGGCTGTCGTAATCTTGTCTTTATTTCTTTTCTTCTCCGTGTTGTATTAGTCTTGCTGTAACGAGGAGTTAAAGAAATGTCTAGTATGGTATACTATGGTCCTGGGAGGTATCATGTTAAAGATATAGAGGGCTGGGGAGGTCACTGAATCATGTGATTGAGAAATAAAAGGAAACTGTGTAAGTAACGTGGTTGTCCCTTCCACAATCAAGAAAGAAGAGGGGAGGGAGAGAGAGAGACACGCATTGGGTCAAGCTAGAAGTGCCGACTGTCCTGTGGACTGATGAGCCCTTAGAACTGGCTGGCTAGCAGGACCTGTTGCAAGTCTGGGAACAATCTGGGGAGGGGAGGGTGATTGTGGTAGAGGGACAATTACGATTACTAAGGCTAATATAAAAGAGACTAAGGAGGTTCTTAGAAATCTAGATACTTGGTAGCTCTAGCGATCCCCACAGTGTTACTGGTAGAGAAGGTGTGATGGAAGGTATCCTCTCTGATGGTATAGTTACCAACGTAGTATTTCCTGTGTAAGGAGAATGCTGGACAGCTTGTGAGATAGTGTGCTGTAGTTTCATTGTCTTCATCACACTTTTTGCATGCTGTTGGGTTCGTTGCCAGTCTTGTTTTGGAAATATCTGAGATGACTGCATCCTGTGAATAGATGTGTAAGAATTCTACTCTTGTCTCTATTTTGTCGTCTAACGTCAAGGTGTCTGTCAAAGAAACTAATAATGTTGGATTGGTGGAAAACAGTGAGGATCTGAAGAGTAATATATGATAAAAGTGAGGTCGGAATAACAGGGTCACCTTATCAAGTGATTAGGTAAACCAATCACCTGATCACACGTAATGAATAAACTCGTTATGCTTCGTATCTCGGTCATCTGAGAAGCTACAACTCTAATTTTTTTCAGGACAAACGTATAGTAATCTGAATGGCTAAAAACAATTCAATAAAATTTAGCTCGATCCGAGTATCCAAACTATTAACTAAATGCGAAAATGAACCTTCATTTGAAATAAATGAACACGAATATTTTCGAGTTGACAAATTCCTCGAACCAGTGGTGGGTGGTATGGTACTGAGTCATACCAGACAAAATTATTTCAATTGGGCACTCAGTGACCGAGCTATAAAGGCCAACAAATGGGTACTGACTTTTGGCCCACCCTATAGTACTTCACTCGGAGCAAAATGAAAGTTTGATATTAATCTATATCTAGCGTCAAAGACATTTGATGTTCGAGATTTTCAAATTCAATTGTATGTAAGCCTCATTACTCCGCAGATATTACGATAGCGTTTAACTACTATTTCGAGTTGTACAGGAAGTTCCACAGTCAACATCTCCACCTTAAAGAGCAGGAGTACATCCTCGTTACTATGGGACATCTCAAACTACAGAAACATTCTCGTCTTGTCAGATCGTGAGTTCTTAAAGTGCTTTTTTTACATTTCGATACATTTTATTGTATTGTGGTAAGTGATTACTCTATATATGTCTCCAATATATACCTCCCTTCAACCTCACCCCTACCAAAGTGATAAAATCTCTTGGGTATTAGCTTCATTATGCTACATTATTATACTACATTATCAAAATATTCATATATTGTATTATATATATATAATATATACCCAAAACAATCACATAGTTTGTAACATGATCATTGCTGAGGATTTTATACGCCGAAGGATAATTGCACGGTCATTGCTTGGTAATTGCACGATGATTGCTTGGTATTTCAGCAATTTTGCTCACTAACACTGATTAAACAGTTTTAAATCTCAATCTCTTCTTTCATGACAGTTTTCGTAATATTTGAAGTTCCTCTTCATAACATGACAAGTTACAGTTCTATATGAATATTATGTAGTTACAATGTCTATCCACTGTCAATTAGGATATTCAAATCTAAAGTCTCCAGCTTAATTTATCAACAATGTTTAATTTGTTGTACAGAGGAACAAACATTGCAATAAACAGTAAGAAAGTATTAGTAATGATACGATATAACTGATATAACCGATATAGGAGCTCCCCTTATCTGACGTTTTTACAGAGCTATAAGTCTAATTTAACCCCATAATAATGATAACTTCTTCTAATGGGTATATTTAATTACATACCCTAATTACACTCAATTACAGACTCATTACATATTCGTGAAGTTTTCAATACTATTGAGTACGTATTGAGTTACAATAATTTCATTTCCTGTTCTCAGTACTAAACATCGCGATAAGTGTGGCAAACTGCCTCACTTATTAAGAAACGATCGATATTTATACTTAGAAATAAATATTAATAATAAATTATTTTTAATCTAGCATAAAATTCAGTGATGCTAAAGCAACGATTTGACTGCCGTCATTCGATATACCATAATGGGACCTCCTTTGAACAATCCATGAAGCCAGAAAAAAGGCCAGTCTTTATAACATGTAATTGTAATGTGTACTATCAATGTCCCATCAGATGTCATAAAACACATTACACACCTGCTACATTTTACACGTTATAAACACCGTGTAATTGTAACACACTAGTCCCGATCTTGGTAGATGTATTATATAGCCTTACAGACAACAGCGACATGGCGAACCTAGCAAGCTCGGAACGAGGGGCCAATAACCCTCTGTTATTGTTGTATGTACTATGTAGTCTCAATGTTACAATATTGATAATTTAGCAATAATATTGTGTGTGATCAGTCTTTTCTACACTCTATAACAGTCAGTGTAGAAATCATTGAGGCCGGTTAACTATAATAGTGCTGTGCCACATGGAATATTAATTAAACATTGTTAAAGGCGAGGAAGCGTGGTTATTTACGTGTTACATCATGTCATCATGTGGAACAATTCATTATAGTCACAAGTTTTTAAAAGTAGTTTTAAGTTTTGTTTACTAATTACAGTTATTTCCAGGCAAGTAATGGACGCGATACGATTCTACGAAGAATCCCAGAACTTCTACAAGCTCCGTAAGGACCACTGTAGTGAGTTTCTCAAGATCTGTATTTTCGCAGCTAACTTGCTGGCTGGGAAGAAGAGAATATCACGTGATATGATGTTACAGTTCAGGAATGCTCAGAATGATACTAAAACTGCGTTCTTCTTGTCAGTGTTTCACAAAGATACTAATCACAGGTTCTTATTTATGTTCTAATATATAACTCAAACATATTAAGATTGTCGTGTTATCTTACTATATATAAAGCGAGACGATATATATGTATTTATCTGTGCCATTTTACTGACACCACGGCATCAACTTTAACGCGAATTTCTGCAAAAACCGTAAAAGATATACAACTGAAACTTTTTTGACTGGGTCAAATGCTTTAATGGCCTCCAAATCAGCATGAAAAAATAAAAAAATTGGCCAAGAAATAGGAGTTTTAGAGCCCAAAATTTGGTACCCCAAGTGGTGTCAAAAATGCGAATTAAATAGGTAATAATTGTTTTAGTCTCTTGAGTCTTGACACCATTTTAGGGTTAGACGGGTTCCTGCTAGTAACTTATAATGCATATTTACTATTATATTATGTAGCTGCACGATATTAAACGCAAAGAACGAAACATATTTTTTTCAAGATGGCATGTTCCAGAACAAATATAAATTATACAGCCAAGAACATTTATTAACAGTTTCATAAGCTCGATAATTCTTATCACTAACTCTCATATAATCCACTAAAATTTTAGACTTCTCTGGAGAGAACTTACTTGTACAGAAAAGGAGCATCAGACCAATAGAATTAAACCTAAAGTTGTAAGTAAAATATTTACTGATTTATTTTGTGTGTATGGATAGTCCAAATCGGTATTATCATTACTTATACTTGACTAATCAATGAATATATTAAATATCTAATCAATCAATCGCTTGAGAGATTATATTGTTTCATTAACTAAAGAATGATTAAGTTACAACTTAATAACATGATAAATTGATACTGATGAAAATGAATTTGTTAGGTTAATTAAGGTAAATTTGTTAGGTTAACTACTACATGTTGGAAGAAGCACACTACAAAATAAAATGTAAAGAGATTTCAACAAACGACAAGACAAAGTTTCTTATCTTTCCCTCCGAACAGCTGCTGGAAAACGTCGACTTATTCGATCCGGCACCCCTTTATCGACAGGTAGGCAGGAGTTGTAACATGGTTTAAGTGTTACATATTGTGTGACACTCACTTGTAACACACTGTCGCGTCCAGATGAAATGGATGCGCTATTTGCACTATTTGTAATTTGCACGTTTGAATTATGAATATAAGCACGTCACTGTTACTCGTGTAAATAGAGCATGAGAATTTATTTACTTATTGAGGGCACCATCCTGTCAAGAGCGAGAGATATAATTAGCAATTTAGTAATATCCTTAATAATAAGGGTGTGCACGCAGCACGTGTGAGGGAAGTCTTTGAAGTGAGGATTTTAGATCCACCTGAATAAGTTCTCATACATAGTTGTGTAGCCATTAATTAATGGGATTTATTGCTATCTGTCGCCTGTCGGGTTATAACAATAGCTTTTATATTTTATACTGTATTACCATATATTTTATAAGATGATTATGGCGCCATGGCGGGGGTTATTCTTACTGTCACCAACATGTAGCTTACATTGGTAGCATTTTCCGATATTGGTTTACGTATTGGTGTATTGGTAACAATAAGGAATCTCAGTAACGGGAGATTGTAAAATTGCCACCAAGGCATTACCCAAAATTTTCGCTCCCCTGCTTCAACTTTTGGCATTTCATTAAACTAAAATAATGAAACAATTGCTCTACATTTGAAGTTATCTTTTTGTGAGTAATTTACATAACTTTTCAGGAGGACCTACATTTAGCAATTTACATCAAGATACCTTCTACACGAATATGATAAACTTTCTAACTATTGAGTAACTATAATTACTTTGAGTGTAAGATCAAGATGTAAACTTGTATTGTATGTAGGATACTAAGCTTACTTAGTGATATATTTTCTTAATGTACTTAATAATTTACTTCTTATTGCATGGTCACACAATGTAAATATTACAGATTTCCAGAGTTTAATTGAATTTCAAGGATGCGTGAAAGTCGCTGTAAAATTCGCCATTTTTTAGATTTGAGACTTTATGTCCTTTTTAGTCGATTTTGATGTAAATGATTAGTTATAGGGTTTCATGGGGTTTATGCATGACCATAATACTGCACCAATGTTATCACACATTCTTCGATTTGTTAGAGATCCGCACAATTCCTTTCCAGGGTACATAATTTATGCGTTTTTAGCATATCATATCTATTTTATAATTCCACATTTTGGCGATCATATTCACTAATTTTATTATCCATGGATTTATTTAAATTTTGACGTATTTTTACAAGTTTTTATGTTATATCTTCTTCTTTTATCAATCTTACAATTAATGTATTGGATATAAAATGCAGAGTTTTAATCGTTCCTGGCATACACTATAAAATCTGCACTATCGGATAAGAGATTAATGTAAATAAACTGAAACGTCCCATAAATGATCATGTTCAGGTATCACATACCGCATACGTACTTGTCATTGATTATCGCTAGCTACTAAACATTCAACAAATTTTAGGACATAATTTCACCATAATTATTAATTAAGTTCGTGAGAGGGAGGTTGAAATCGATACATTGTAGTAAGCCGGTTGGTTACACAGCAGGTTGTTACAGGTAGTAAGCAGGTTGGTTACATGCGACCAGGCAAACAGATTCTCTTTCGGGCGGCACTGTTATCAATCTGATTTAAAGTTCGTTACGCGCGAATTCCAAGCAACAAACAATAGAATAAAGTGCAACTTTCAAACTTAGTTCTCGTGCGCGGCTTATATTATATAAACGACGCTATATATCTAATCACTAATTAAGCTAATATATAATTAGCTATTGTATGCATGCCGCGCAGGAGCTTTAATTTATGTCACTCATTGCATGGTTTATAATAATGTTGTCATATTTAAACTAATTACAACACTACAAATCTATTAAATTTATTGAGGACGTTACAGAAGGAATTAATTTATTGTAGCTTTACTGTAGCATATAGAGGAGTCCTCATATCACGTCCTCTCCAAACAACAAACAATGGTGTTTCTCTTGTCGCTATAATTAATGACATATCACATACAACATATATGTGATAAAATAATTTGACCAAAACCCATAATCATGGGTAAAGTTGTAGGTTTACAACCTACCAGGACGCGCGCCGAGTTGGACTCGTCGACGGTCCTGGAACAGATATTTTACGAGTATCACCCGTTAAGGGTAAAGTGGACCACAACGGTGTCCCTCTCTCCCAAACAAAAGGAAATGATATTAATTTAAAAAAACCGTCCGCAAATGCAAATTGATACCGAGAATGTCAGAATGAAATCGGTCGCTCGCTTTTCCCATTCATTCACGGCTTATTATTGATTATGTTTTACTTGTAGCGCGATGCACTACTGGGTCGATGCACTACTGTGTACTGGGTCGCGCCGCGCATCAAACCATTCTTCTCGCAACCACACTTCGGTAGATCGGCGAAATGCAATGTGCCTCACCGAGCTGCGAAGGATTGACATCGTGAATCAAATGTTATACGAATTGTAATAAAGTTTTTATTAATTATATCCATGACATGCTGTAAAATCTCTTTGGGTTTCTTTTGGGTATTCGATAACTGTTATTTTGGGATAAGGTTGGTAGTTATTACTGGGCGGCGCTCAGCATGTCATTCCGCCGAATCTTTATGCTTATGAACATACTAGCCTGGGGTCCTCAGGTAAGGTAGTAAGTGTCCAATTAGTGTCGATCCAATTAGCTGTTGTTTATCGGATCTTTATTGCCGAGTACAGCTGCCTTCGGGTAGTTTTTTTTTATCAATAAACTTTCAAATTGTTACACAAATACATCATTTTATTTCAAAGAAAATATCGCCGAATGACCTTACATGCTTTGACAAGTGACCGAGTGTAAACAAAATAAAAACTTAATCTATTACAATTGTAAATGAATGGGAAAACTTTACCTGCAACCTGGGGACCCCAGGCTATTATGTTCATTAACATTGGCGGAATGACAGGCTGAGCGCGGCCCAGTAAGGGAAAACTAAAAGCGAGCGACCGATGTCATTCTCGATATCAATTTGCATTTGCGGACGGTTATTCGAATTAATATCATTTCCTTTTGTTTGGGAGAGAGAGAGACACTATTGCGGTCCACTATTTGGTCAAATATCATTCCTTTTAGATTATCATGTCAGGATAATTTACAAAGTCGAAATGTAAACTCATAACTTCATTATTAAGGAGGTAATTTCAACGATTTCGAAACTTTACCTTTGAAAACATTTCCTTGTGTTTAGATAGGCATATTTGTCGATAACTGACTGAATCTGGCACTTTTTACTCATTCAAGTTGGCATTAAATTCATATATAATGCCATCTAAATGTTAACGGGTGATACTCGTAAAATATCTGTCAGATGAGGTTTAAATTCCATCGTAAAGTTGCTGTTCTACACAGTGAGGCATTTTCCTATCAAGAGTGCAGTGCCCTTGTGAGGGATTATTACAATTTTTATAATATATTTGTTAAGATTTAAATTGGTCATTAGAACCACCCGGGCACCGTCTCGGTTTACAATCAACTAAAAAACTTAACCACAAAACCGACTCTGAGCACTATTTCTAGGTTCTGAAACGACTAAATGATGCGAATTACAAATCCCCAGAGCTGATCCCACTCTAAATTAAAAACACTTTCCAACTTCAAAACTTAAACACAAAACCAGCTTTGAGCACTATTTCTAGGTTCTGAAACGACTAAATGATGCGAATTATAAATCCTCAGAGCTGATCCCACTCTACATTAAAAACACTTTCCAACTACAAAACTTAACCACAAAACCAGCTCTGCGCACTATTTCTAGGATCGATTACAATTCTATTTGTACCTATAGCATATGTCAGTACACCTGCGAGCAAATGAGGATTAACATTTTTAACAGCTATTCATTAAACTTATAGGATTATAACTCATAACTACATATAAGGTATAACACAAGTGGCACTGATGCAGATGAATCATGGATAATTATTGACTGTTGACGAAAACTCGAAGTTTGAAATTCAAAGTATAAAGCTGCAAGTAGTAGAAACGTAATTGGGAAATCAGGATTAAATATGATCACACGTAACGCGCGGATATAACATGTGCTTTATCCAATGCGAAACTAAAAGTGATGAAATAAGAAAATCGACTGTAGAGTGATTTAGCGCGACCGATCTGTACTGTTCCATATGGCTCTTACTAAATCGCTCGCCCAAAGATTTCACGTGACTTTGGTTTTTTTGGTTTTGCAGCCGTACAAAACGGTTTTACATAAACCCTAATCCCAACCCTAACCCTAACCATAACCCCGAAGCTATCCATAATCTTAACCACAACCCTAACCCTAACCCGAGCCCTAAATAATCGAATTCACGTTTTACTAGCCTGTCACGTGACCAAAACGGTTTTTTGCCCATAACTCTCCAGGGAAGCATTTTAACCCTACGTCATGGGGGTGATTCGGAATCAGCGTCCAAAAATACACCGATCTAGATCACTTTCATGCCTAAAGGGCCTTTTCACAAGAATTTTCTTAAAATTTGGGCGAGCGATTTAGTAGGAGCGGTTCCATATATTACCGAGTCCAACTCGGCGCGCGTCCTGGTAGGTTGTAAACCTACAAAATTCTCATCTTTCGCACGTGCTAACTTTGAGCGGACGTTGCGTGCACATACAATATTAAATCACCATACATTTTTGCATGTTGGTGTTTTATATATTGTTTAATAAGCATGCAAAGTCTCAAAAGATTTCAAAAAGAACTTGGATCACAACGTGAATCCAAAGTTGATAAAAATCGTGAAAATAGCAATTTTCAGCCTGCAGCCATTTTGAATTTTCTATCAATTTGGGCGTGTCCTCACGTGTGCAACTTTTCGATTTTAAACTTTAAAACTAGCCTATTAAACAATTTATTAACGGGTGATACTCGTAAAATATCTGTTCCAACTCGGCGTGCGTCCTGGTAGGTTGTAAACCTACAAACAATTTAGACCTTTAGGAAGCAAAATTGAGCTCCACAACCCAATATAAATGGGTCAATCATGATGCGACACGAATTGAGAATTGCAGTGGTAAGTTTTGATAAAATGGTAAAGTGAATTCCAAGAATTTAGAGCAGCAATCAAGCTTCAAGCAAACGTGGCTTACTAAAGTTAAATTGTTTATTCGCCCATCAATTTTAGAGATGCTGCCATGTAAAACTAAAATTTGAATCAATGATCACTGATCATACATTTGCATTTATCATATACCTAATATAATTAAATCAGCTAAAAGGTTGGAATAGAATTGGCTGATTGAAAATTGAAATCGATCCAGATCGATTGGACTCGAATTACACCGATTGATATTGAATTAGATTGTATTATCTGATTCAAGATTAGAATCGATCGCAAATTAGAATCGATTAGAATAGAATCAAATTTAACGGAGTCGAATCGGGCCGAATTCAATTCAATTGAACTGTATTCATGAATCTGACAGAATCCAATTTCATGCATAGCATCGAATCTAGTTTATTTTATTCGGACTGAATCAAATCACTATCAGACTGGATTGTAGCTAGTGGTCCCCTGAACTCGTATATGAATTTTCATTAAGATTGGAAAAAAATGACTGAGTTATGAGCCAAAAAACATATGACCATATTTGGGCATACGCACCAAATTTGATCGATTTTGGTCCATAAATTGGTCAAATATCAATATTTTTTAATGTAACCAACTTTATATGGAAGGTAAGCCTATACGACACATTCTCTATGATTATCAGCTCAGTATCTACCTAACTGTGGATTCTATGTTCAAATAATCCCAAAAAATGAACAAAATCGCCTGTATCTCAGTTTGCGATAAATAGTCATAGATAGTTTGCCGCCAAATGTTTTTGAAGGCCTAACTCAAAATTCCATATTAAAACTTAAGGTCGAAATGCGATTCTACGTTGATTCTGAAAATTTCATATAAAAATATTAAAACCCTATCGAGTTCTATTGTTTAGAACGAAATCAGTTTTGCAAATATCCCAAACTGAGATACGGGCGATTTTGTTCATTTTTTGCGATTATTTGAACATCGAATTCACAGTTAGGTAGATATTGAGCTGATAGTCATAGAGAATGTGTAGTATAGGCTTACCGTCCATATAAAGTTTGTTTTATTAAAAAATATTGATATTTGACCAATTTATGGACCAAAATCAATCAAATTTGGTGCGTATGCCCAAATATGGTCATATGGTTTTTGGCTCATAACTCAGTCATTTTTTGTCCAATCTTAATGAAAATTCATATAAGAGTTCAGGGGACCACTAGCTACAAGTAGAGCACCTAAAATCTGGGTTTTTGGGCATATTCAGGGTATTTGGCTAAATTGGGCCTGATTTGGACCAAATATGGGCGTGGCTCCACCGCGGACACCGTTTGGCGGTTGGAGTCCGGGACCCCCTCAAAAGTTTGGTCACCGGTCTTAGTTTGTTGGTCAAATGCTATCTCGAAACCCCCCCCCCCCCCCCCCCCCTTAAAAGACTGTTTAACAAAAATAAACAATGGTCTTGTATTTGTAACATTGATGCACTCATATGTGGTGAATTTGTGACCTCATGTTCATCACACTCACAGTTATTGTAAATGGATCAATCTTGCTACACGTTGTACACCTCTCGTGCAGCGTGTGTCAAGATCAATCATGATCAATGATGCGACTGAGTTGTATAATATTTAATACTGTTCCAGTGATAACGGTGTTTTTTAGTCAAAATATGGTAAAGCATAAAGTGAATTCCAAGAATTTGGAGCGGCAATAAAGTTTCAAGCAGACATGGCTTACTTAACTACTTATTCGCCCATCAATTTTATGAAGATGCTACCATTTAAATTTGAGGACTTAACTTTGAATCAATGATCATATATATTATATATAATGATATATTTCATTTAATTTAATCCAGTAGTTACAAGATATAATCCAATCACGGATCACTGCAAACATATTCCTTAGCAGAGATTGCTCACTGTCTGTAATCGACATCATATACTTGGAATTTTGATGCTTGTCTTCATACCCGATAAAATTATATAGCAGAGATTAAAAGGAACAGAAACATGAGATCATTTATCAATAAAATATAAATCAAAATCGGGAATGATTACATTAACATAGTTATAGTTATACTTTTAGTTCGCCGGAATCCAACACCAATGGCGGTGTTACTTAAATTCCTATTTTGATGGAAATCATTAATTGCGCAATTTTAAATCGGGACATTTATTTAAAAATATTCATGCGTTTGGGCACTGATTACGGTGCCACACTTGTGTTTATGTTCAGTAGAGATCTCAATTTGAATAACATATTAGCAATGTTAATAATCATGACCGAGTGTTGACAGATGGACGATTAGTATCTGTATCATATACTAACAAGACAATTTAGCCACAGGGAAAATAAATTGGCAAATTGTCGGAAAGATGGTACTTTGCTATGAAATTGGCCTAAATTTCTTGACACTCTCCATTTTCCGCAAATCAAAGACCATATTAACGAATTTTCAATATTCATGGCGTTCTTGAAGTTGACATGTCTGAAGTGACAAGCGAACATGAATTCACGTACGGCTAAAATACGAAACCATTTATAATTATAACAGAAAGGCTTTCTTATAGTTATAAATTATAATTATATTGACTAATAAACGCGACCCACGGTGATTTGTGATTATTTCATAGACACCCACTAAAATGACCCATTAAACTGACTCACCACTGCCCAATGACAACGTTCATCGGCCAGCTTTTACCATATTTCCGAGTCGTCTATTAAAATTGCAAAATACTCTCTGAATTTCGGTAGAGTGGTTCAATCTTGAGCAATATTAGACCAATCTTGGTTAAACGTTCGTTGCGGTTATCCTTTTGAATTAAGAGTTTTCAGTTTATGACATGTCATGATGTCAAGTCGAGAATTTTGATTCGCAGAATTCTGTCTAAAAAGCACATGCCGGGGGACTTCAGGGAATATGATATGGCACCCAGTAAATAGCATATTGAAGCTTATGTTCTAAAAGTAGAAGTACAGTGTGCCACACGATCGAGTATAGGCATAGCTATAAGTATAATAAGTAGGCCACAATCTCTCACTGCAGGATATTCCAACCTGACCTCGACCCAAAACCAAAACCGTGAAGATAAGGGATATTTCAATTGGCAAGTGAACACCAAAAATTGACCCATACTTTTATTTTCAGAGGAGCGTTCTTACCTATGTAGGGCAACATGAATTTGGATTGGACGCCCACAAATGCGCAGTTCAACTGTAATAGGTTTAAAAGCTGCCGGAGTTGTGTTTTAACTCCGGTTACCTGATGACTTTATCTATCTAGTTCTACACTTTGTCGCTACACAACATCCGCCCATCAAAGATTCGGCGGAGAAAGAGAGAGACTGGCCCCGCCCGATAAAACACTATGAGCTCTTTCAAGATCTTAAGGAAGGGCCTCCGTCTGGACATTTGAATGCAAAGTGACTTAACACGCTCCAGATAAATCACAATTACATGTCTATTGACAGGAGGCTGTTCGGTACTGGGACTCACCTCCGTTCCACCCAATGAATTCCAGTGCGTGCTGTCATGACCCGCAACGATTATGAGAGTCGTATACGACTTTGCTTGGCCACTTTAAACAAATTGTTATCATCAATACGTGCCGCCATCTTCTCAGAATTTATAACGAATTGCCTCACGTATCTGCTGGAGTTAAGAAGCCTGGACTCATTTACTTTGTGTCGCACTAACTTGAGAAATGAGAGATTCCAAACTGCCAATCTCCTCACAGAACACAATCGCATGGAAATCCGATTTTAGAGAGTCAATTAATAGGTCTAGAGTGGTGCAAGTCAAACAGCGAGGCTGCACTTCGATTAAGGGGAGCCGAAGCTCTTTAATCTCAGACCGATTGAGCACGTTTCAAAAACATTCAAAGAACGGCATCACTTGCTTAACTCTATTTCAAACACTTTGTCGAGATATGAATCAAGGGTGAAGAGCAGCAAGTTAAGATCAGTTGCAAGATGTCCCTTTGAGGTAATGATGCCGAATTGAATTTATTCAATGACGCTATATAGAAGCGGACCCCACAGATTACCTAACATTCAAATTCCCGAAAAATTATTAATGGCCGACACGGCAAAATAGAAATAACGATAACTTCAAGTTGACGCAAAACAATAAATAAAGTCGACAATTTATAATCAAGGTTAAACCGAAACATGACGTCAAGTTTAAATCAAGGAAATTTCAGAATATATCAGCATTTAATAGAAAGCAAAAACAACATAAACAAAAATGGAGTGATTGTCTACGGCTTCTATAGTTAAACTTCCCTTATGAGAATATTAACGTTAAAGCAACTGTGTTGCATATACGCTGTTTTTCCTTCGGCAAAACGATAAACGATAAAAGATAAGAGTCTTCTACACTAACCAATTTACATTAAATTACGAAGCCCAAAAGAATTCAACTCGAAATAATTAAACTGAAATTCATAACATCAAAATTGAATCGTAATAAATAACTTTCCAAAAAAACAGTCCTGGTCACACATTTCGGCACACATTTTCTGCCCTGGTATCAGTCCACAAGATGGTGACGACACCTTTTCTCCTTCTTCTCCAGGAAGCATTCCAATGCGGAGTGTGGTCAGCTGATAAGGATTAAGGGCTGTCTCGAGACTGTCTCGTGACTGTCTCACTATCTCTCGCTCCCTCAACGGGGCTTGTTACCAAGAAGGTCAGCCAGAGAGGCCGGAACCACTAAAGGTGTGGTATTCCCAACAGGCAAAGCTCCTGAAAATATTTACAGTAAACAACACCGCGGCTCTGAGCGGCAGCTACACTTCATAAAAGATTAATTCGTCGTACACGGGTAACCACGTGATAACGGAGAGGGCAGCTGATTGGGTGAAGTCTGAAATTTTGTGTGTGTCGGCAATTCACAAACACAATCCCATCCCGTAAATATCGCAATATTTTGTCAAAAGTTATCTTCGAACTCAACAAAGCTTTGTGATTGTCTCTCGGCAAAGGGAAGCCGACGTTTCGATGATAAATATATTATTTGATATATTAATAATTCGGTTGGTCGGAGGGAATTAGAGTACCCCTATATTGATGCCTGGTGCGGCCGAGCGCTGGCACCTCCCCACACACCCATCAACCGAGCCACCGATACTGCTCGGTCCAGCAAACAATTTTAATTAGCCAGACAACTTTTTATAAATTTGTTGGTAGCGAGACGTACGAATTGAAGATGCGCCGAGGGCAATGTTTGACTTACCAGCTAAAAGGGACGTCGCGGCGGTGGTGGTGTCCACTACTGTACCAGAGCTGTCTTTTGAGGTTGTCACTGAAAGTTAAGAATCTCATTAAGCTGTAAATCACTATTTTTCTTCTAAGTGGAAGCGATCTAGCATGTCGGCAAATCATCAAAATTTGTTAAACTTCCACGATTTACAAAGAATGCCGCAAATGTTCAAAATAGGCGAGAAGGTTATGGCAACGTTCCACATGATTTATCAAAAGTATGCCGCATTTCTTGCGAATGAACATTGAGATTGTCAATAATTTTTGCCACTCGTCGTAACGAGTATCTAAGTGAATATTCAGTACCATTAATCGCTATCATTTTTCTCAAAAAAGCCATGACGGTATCCTAAAAAACTATTTTAAAACTTTCCAAGAAATGCAAACTTACCAGGCGCTGACTGAGCTGAGGTGTTGGATGCACTGCTGGGGGATCTCTGATGGTGGAAGGGAGTGGTGGAGGAACTAGAGGGAGATCTGTGATGGGACAGAGCGCTGGTGGACCGCTGTGGGGTTGGGGTGGTAACTGACCCTCCTCGGCTGCTCATTATGGCTCCTCTGTTCGCTTCAGTTTCCAGGAATGAGACGAAAAGTTCGGAGAAACTCTGGAGGAGGGAAGTTCGGTTAATTTAATCGGCTAATAGAGCTTTTAAAACTTAAAAATTAAGTTCACCAAAAATTCAGTTCACCAAGCTAGTTATACCATAACTCTTTAACATGTTAAAACATGTTCAAGTCACTGTAGACTCTTACCTGTCCAGGGAGAGCATCCTTGTCACCAGCACCACCCAGAGAGGCAGGAGCTAACAAACTGGACAGCCACTTCTTATCCTTACTTCTCTGTAACACTTCCAACTCCTCCTCAGAGTAATTTAGAATAGAGGTCATCAACTTTAGTACTTCTGGCTTCCTGTTATCTGAGAGAGATTAGGACGGGTTAGAGCTGGTGAACGGACAAACACACACACACACACACACACACGGACAGAGGAGGATTGTCGATTTCCGCAGACAAAGGCGACTGGCACGCTGTGTTTCAGACGGTAATAGAGGCCGACACAACCTGTCCTTGAGTGAATCCTGTACTGACAGGGAAGCGGCGAACATCAACCCACCAGACCCGACAAACCTGACAGACAAACAAACACACAAACAAAGATCGCGTAATATTAACCCAGACAGGTGGTCAATATAATGTACAGGGCTATTTTTTATTCTCGTGATGGTCCAGCTCTAGTTGCAGTTTAAAGAGGGTATTGCTCAGTTCTTTGGTAATTGTTTAGTTAATTTATCCACTGGACGGCCAGGTGTATTGTGCAGCCAGACGCCATTTGTGTTGATCTAAAGCGTGGGCAGCGGAGGTCCGAGAACAAGCAGTAGAGATGCCGAATTCAAAGGCCGAACGTTTCTTCTAGACACAAAGGCAGGGAAAACAAAGCCATGGTTATTGTCTAGTCGGTCGTTCAAAGGGGTTCGACCGAGCAGGCCAAATTGGCATTAACTGTTTCGCAATTAGTAAGACTAACAAATTAGTGATTATAGTGATTTGCATAACAGAGCAACCACCGAGGACAGATCTAATTTGGGGTGATCCAGTGGATTAATAGTAAAGTAACCAACCACCGTACCCGATCCGATGGTAATCTACCAGGTCGACGTAAGAAAGGGAGAGCTATCTGTTATTAATATCAAACGTTAAACCAGGTTGTAAAAGTTTGAAGTATATATATAAGTACCAGGTGCGGTGATGTATTGGGTGAAGAACGCTTTGATGAGGGAGCGCTCAACTTTGTCTTCTGCCGTGGTCCGTACTTTCTGGAGACCCTCCTGGGCAACTTTAAGTGCCACGTCCAACTTTGACACCTGGAGAGAGAGGTGGGGATATGTTAGTACTGCTGGTGGTGGAACTTATATTTATATATCTTGAAACCAGAACTAGCGCAAAACGAAATTGTGGAGTTATCTGTCAACTTCGGTTATGCTAGAGAATAAAAGGTTGTAGTGTGTCATAGTGAAACACTGCCACTGGAGTGTCATGAGATAAATACTTAAAGCCAAGTTTATTGCCAAGACTAAGTATAGACGGTGAATTATAACAATTTTATAGAAGATTGTTACTGAAGTTAAACTTGAACTTTTAACTTGAAGTTTAACTTAAACCGAACTAAGTTCTTACCTCGTGTTGCAGGGATTTTATCCTATCGTCCTTCGACTTGGAGTCCTCTCTTGACGCTTTAAAGTCCTCCTCGATAATTCTGATCTCTGATACCCGAGCCTTAAAGAAATAAATAGGTTAAGATTGTCATATCTTAAATTGAGACTAAACCAAAAACAATTTTTGAGCTTGGCTCGGCTGTATGTTAACTTCTACGATACACATGGCACTGTGTGGCTCTATTCTGAGAAATATCAAATTTCACCGAAAATGAAAGTAATTACTCTCTCTCATTGGTAGTGGTATTTTAAATCGGCAAATAAGGTGCTCAATTCGGACGTCTCAGAACTACATTTCAGCAGAAAACCAAATGGTCAGCACAACCTAAACAGCCACGTCTCCCATCCTACATGTGCGGCATCACCACAGTTTAGTTAATGATGGTTATGTTGTAGATACTTGTCAAAGCTAGCTCGAGCAATGCTAAACATGTGACAGGCTATGTCTCGAATACGAAAACAAGTCGAGCTGTGCAGGTCAGGTTTTAGTTGTTGGTCTATGTAGTTGTATTATTATAGTATGGTTTTCCGTGAGAATTCAACACTAATACGGGAGAGAATGTATCTTTAATCAAGGCAGAATGATCGCTTAGGAATTCACTTCATAGCGTTATTTCGACAGTATATAATTTCAGTCGCGTTTGAAATTTGCGAATGTTTCTAGATTTCTATCCGCTTTGCTTAGACAGCCATCACCCAGTTCAGAAGAGCATTTCTTAAATGCCACGTGTATCGCTTAATGCACAGTCGAGACGGCAATCAAATGAGCGAAATTTAGCTCTGAACTCCGACCACCAAAACATTTAATTTCCTCCAAGATTAGTTAGCCGGTATGAGCTGCCCGTAGCCTCCCACCGAGTGGAGGGCAATATCCAAGTTTTAGCCCACGGAGTTAATTAGCCGGGTATGTTGTATAGAGACCGACCCCGCTGCTCTCCCCGCTCTTCAAAGATTACAGGATTACAGACGGTCTGAACATAACTAACCATTTAGTTATCTAATTCCAATTTTTTGAACTGGACAGAGGCTTTAAAATAAATAATCACAACGTGCCTAGTGAGGTCAAGGTTGTTCAACCGAGTATTGCGGTACAGTGGAATAATCGGGAGAACATAATGAGTAAAACTGTTAAATTCAGTAAAATTGTTCATTGACTTTAAACGGTAAACTTAAACGAACTGTGGCGGGGAGTATTACTTGGCGGGATTAATATAATATAAAAAATAGATTATCCAACTCGTAATCTTACCCGATAAAGTTGCTCTACTTCGTCGAGATAGGATCTAATCTCCGTGATAGAGGACACTCCCCTCTTAAGCAGTGCTTCATGTGACGGCAAAGTATTCATGGTAACTTCGCCGCTCCGCGCTTCAACGGAAATGACATCGACAGCTGGGTCTGACAGGGTGACAGCGGATGATATCTTAAGGTTGATAGCGGGAGTAGTGTTGCAGGAGCTGCTCACCGCAGTGGGCAGGGAACTTGAAGTGCTGGTGAACGCGGAAGGGGTTCGTGCTACTGATGACAGGGTAGGGGGGAGGAATGAGGAGAGGGGGACCATGGTGAAGTTAGAGGTTGGGAGGCTGTTGGGGAATAGTCCGTTGAGGAGACAGGGAGGTGTGGGTAGAGTGGAGTTCAGGTGGTGGTTGTTGGAGAGAAGAGGACTTCTCAGACCAAGACCTGAGTTAGCTAGACTGTGCCTTAGTGACAGGGAATCTGTTGTATCCATAGGAGTTTGGTTCGTTGCTTGAGATAAGCTCGCCATCGACATAGAAGGCGGAGTGACTTCTGATATAGAGTTTCTTTTGTCACTGCCTTCAAAGTCCATTGGTAGGGATTTGTTGCCATTAAGCAAGAAATCGAAGTGTCCGGTAGGAAGCTTGTTTAAAAGTCTTTGGGTGTAGTTTTCATTCATTGAGACGGATAGATCCTCTTCATTCTTCTTTCTGTTCTTCACAATCCTCTTACACATCTTGACTAAGGTGTCAAAGGAGGGCAGCTCTTCGTTTAGGGAAGATTCGTTGAACTTAAACTCCTGGAGGCAGCTCAGTACAATATCTGGGGCCTCAGCTTCAGTATACGAATCCTGGACCTTCTGCTTTAACTGATGGATCAAACGAGCCGTCTGTGACTTTGAGGTTTGGTGTGTATGGTTATGAGCCGTGCAGGAGGTCACGAATGATCGCTTGGTTGAGATTCTGCCTTTGCACCGGTAGGGGGGTCGCTTCAAAACACAGGCCCAGTAGGTCTGATCGTTGCGCGTTCTGTCCCTAGTGTAGCGATGTCCCTGCCAGACAATCTGACACCCACCTCGTTTTCCCATAACATACTTCACACATTCCATGCTCGGCTCTTCAAACACCTGTTTAGTTCCGTGGTGAGATTGCTGAGGGGAGATGGAACCGGGGGAGATAGGAGGGCTGTTTCTAGGTATAGTAGGCGTGATTTGCTTTTCAGGGGGGCTAAGTCCTCCGTGTGGGCTGAGCCTTGGGGCAGATGGAGGACTGGTTCTTGATTCAGGAGAGGAAGTAGATCGGTCGATGAACGACCTATCCACGTTTTCTTCTTTGATCATGGAACCCAAACCGACTGGTCCCAAACAAGTAGTTCTGTCAGCGAAGTTCTTAGCACTTCCAAAGACATCCACAAAGTATTTGACGAGATCTCCAGTGAGTTTTGTGTCAGGTTTAGCGGTCTGCTTGCTGAGCAGCTCCACTAAATGCTGTGTTGTTGCCATTGATCTGAGAACGGTTTGATTGAGGAATGGATACCAATCGGGTTTATTCAAACGGAAAGCGTAGTCAACAGATAAAACAACTTTTCTGCTTTCATTTTAAATAAAGTTTATCATACTTATACTGACGTTTAAACAACTGTTAAAGAAGGCATAATGACAAATATACGATGTTATTACGACATATTCTGCACTTTTAAATTAAATAAATCCCGGTAAAAGTCCAGCTTATTCACAAGCAATAGACAAGTCTAAGCAAAGCAAATAACCGGAGCGTTACATTAATTAGTAACAAAGTAACATCAAGTAATAAAAATGCGTTTTATGACCATCCCCCGAACGCGCGATTTGGCTTTTAGGAGCTAAGTTTATCGTAATAAAACCATTGAAGGCATTACCTTTGACAATTTCCAAATCTAATGACTCGGCAAATGTCTCTAAAGACGACGACGATCAAAGGACGTTTGGAAGGCTAGAAAAACGACGTAAGGACAGGAAAGACTGACAGCAAGCTCAATTTTGACAAAATACCGAGTCAGCGATTGAGGCATATCAGCAAATTACTGTGACCAACGAGATAAATTTAATTAAGAAAGAACAAAGCTAAAAGTTAAGTTTCTCAGTAACCTGTTGATGTTCTATAATGCAGCACTTATTATTCCGAGGGTAGGAAGCAAACAAGAAGCGTTAAAAGCTTGCCTGTTTTGTGACCACCTGACCGCACCAAAATCCGGTGTTGCACTTGAAATTATTGTTCAAAAAAACATAATTTTACCGGCAAAACTATAAGATGTGGATGAAGGAATAACGATCAGCGGGACATGTAAAAACATAACTATTCGTTATCATCAAAGGTCTGTGAGCTTAGTTGTAATTCTTAGCGCAACTTCTACTCGTACTAGAAATTAAAAAAATTACAAAGTTTTACAGCAGTTCGGTGATGGCATTTTGGCCGTTTCATAGAACATTATTGATATTGAATTTATGTTGCTACTAAAATTTAAATAGCCAGCAGGTGCTTTTAGCCAGATAGAGTTTGGTTAACCTTTATCCATTATATCGATTCTAAAAGCGGCGACATAAAATATCCTAAGTGATACGAAAGATAATATGAACGTTCTGGAGTTCCTACGTAAATGTTCTATCCAAAGCTGTTTAAAATTAGGTGATAATAATCTTCAACATTTTAATACTCAAATCTGAATTGGAAAAACATGAACAAAAAATTGGAACAAACAAAAAATATTCGTAAGAAAACATTGTTAAGAAATGAAAGCTGCACTAAACACAGAGACCTCAGAGATCACAGGATTTGACGAGTTTCAGAAAGAGAGAGCGAGAAAGAACAGTGAGCAACAAACTCGGAAAGCATAAGAACAGTGCCCGCAACGTGCAAGGTGCACAGCAACTTACAAACAACTTTACTTTTAAAAGCGAAGCCTGTTGCAGTGAAAGTTACGAAATCCCGGATGCGTTACCTAATGTGGCCCTCTGATGTGCATCAGGGATGGTGCGATTACACTACTTCTAATCAAGGAGATGCTACACCATTACACTATTAAATTGATCTGGGAGGTTTTGATATCGCCGATCCAGGCAATTTATGGTATTGTAAAGTATCATAAACACACTTTAAATTGAATCTGCAGGGCGTAAATCAAAATTTTAAGTGGGATTATTTCGATTTCGGAACGATGCAGTCGTTAAAGACAGAATATTACGACGAATTTGGAGGAAAAGAAATTGAAAAATATTCTAGTTGTCAATATGCACATTCTCTCGAAGCAATCGTATAAATTAACTGAATTTGGAAGCAGACTGTAAAAGGATTCGACTATAAGAAATGGTGCGCGCAGCATCACCCAGTGTCAAGCTTTACAATAATATTTTGGTTGTAAGAAGTATGTTATACCCACTGAAATTCAAATTGCATTTTGAATTTCATCATAACTAAAAAACCAGACTTGACATTAGTTTTTAAAGTTTATCTTCGGCTTGATGTACGTTTTTTTAATAGAAAATTCGTTCCGAATTGAGGAAAACTCTGCTCACAATCAAGTCGAAAATGTTTGAATTGCTTTTATTTTGAAATCAAATTTGGCTCAACCTGTGATCCAAATAGTTCAGAGGATAGCCAGCGAGCAATTATAAGTTGAAAGGCGGCCCACTATTTACGCTGCCCCGATAAATTTCAGAATTTTAAGTACATTATTTTACCCTAATTATAAGTAAATACCCAACGTTTTGAATACCCCAACGCCCATTACAAATAGTAAATACTCTCAATTTCCCGTTTGATTGGCGGACTGAAAGCTGTTGTAATGTCT